CCCAGTACGAACCTCTGAGGGATGCCACTGGTCACCAGTCTCCATCTGGACGTTGAGCTGTTGACCACTATCATCTGGCTGTGACCATCCAGCCAGTTCCTCGTCCACTGAACAGTCCACCCATCAAATCCATATCTCTGTAGTTTAGAGAGAAGGGTATTGTGGGAGATCTTGTCAGAGGCCTTACAGAAGTCCAGATAGATGACATCCGTAGCTCTTCCCTTGTAATGTAGAAGGCCACTAGGTTGGTCAGGCAGGACTTGCCCATGGTGAAGCCATGCTGGCTCTCTCAAATTACATCTCTGCCCTCCATGTGCCTTCACATAGCTTCTAGGAGGATCTGTTCCATGATCTTCCCAGGCACAGGGGTGAGGCTGAGAGGTCAGTAGTTCCCAGGGTACTATTTGGATAGACTGTCTTCGGCTACTCCACTCTGATGCAATGGTGTCTACTAAGGCACTTCCGACTCAGAAGACTGAACAGTGGGCCTAGCAAGAGATTTCACAGACAAATAACAAATAGATCTGAATGTTTTTCAGCTGGTGTGGTTGTGAATGGAGAGGAACCTGGCAGGAGAAAGGAGGAACATATCAAATACATCCCAGGAGCATTTAGAAAGTTTATTTTTCTAAATTGGTTTACAAATGAAAATAAACATTACAAGAAAAGACGTTTTTATTTTGTATAACAGCCTGAGGCCACTCATTCTTTTGCTTGAGGAAAAAAAGAGATTTAGTTTTAAAGTTGTAGCAGAAGGTGACAGTAAGCAGGACCAGCAAGCTGCTTGTCTTTTGCACATACATGTACTGAAAAGGAAGAAAGAGAATATGTTTCCACCTTCCTTCGAATCCCAGGGCCAAATACAACATCCGTATGCTGCTATTCAGGGAGAATGCTGTAATGACAATTTCAGATTATTGCTTCCTTTTATTCAGTGGAGCATAGTTATAAAATAATGCACAGCAGTTCTTATCCGAGCACCTCCTATGCTGAGGTCTCCTTGGAGCCACAACTCATCTGAATTCCTTCCTAGTCCCTTAATTCTAGCTGCATGCAAGAATTGGTGCATCTTTCCTTTCAAGCAAGAAAGAATGAAAAAAAAAAAAAGGAGTTGCATCTTTTGACCATTATGCAGCACTAATTCTTTTAGTAAAGTGTTGGAAATAAACACATAAATAAAAAAGTGCAGTCCATGCTCCCTTAGGAAAGCTGTATGGATTGGCAAGGAGGTAGTATGGTATTATCTATGCCTTTTCATGTTTCTTTTATGCTTATTAGATTGAATAATTGTTATTGTTACTCCACACAAGTTCTTGTTCTCCTTATCATAGGAACACTTTGTTGGGGAATCATTGTTACTGTTATATTTGTATATAACACTTTCAGTGTTAGAAGACATTCTAAACAGAACAACAATAACAGCAGAGATTACCAAAACAAAAGACATTACAAGGATATTGCTGAACAATGTGACTGCTTTTAAACATTCGTGCACAAATATTAGATCTAGGTTTGGACCACTGTGCTCATCTTTCATGGTTGTTTACCTCAGTTAGTGAGGCTCAATTTTTGCTTTTCAGACGGATTTGTATTTCACTTACACTTTTCATTGATACAAGTACCTGCTGGTTTATGATAGAAATTTGCATAAAATGCAGGGGCTTGGTGGCTGGATAGTCATTGGACTGTTGCTGCTCAGAATACTATAAAAGCTTCTTTATATCCACGATGCGTTTGGCTGCACAGTGAAGAGAGAAGAGGACCTGAGGATGTTAGATTCCTTAGGATCCTGCTTTTCAGTGGAATCTGGTGCTTATAATTGAGGGAATTAGTAGCTGTCTGTCTCGGTTAATACTCCAACACATTAAAAGGCTTAGAAAAGGTAAGAGTTTTCACAATAAGAGCATATTACTTCAACAGGATTTTGATGTATTTTATCAGTTAAAAATGTATATTGCTATTTCAGATAACAGTGGAAAGCCAGTCTGTGTGAGAATTGATGCATACACTTAAGATACACTAACTACTGGCATGCAACCTGGATATTATATTCCACTAGCCTAGAAAAAAACATCACCTGGATCCTGTGTTACAAGTGTCTGCGATTGCGGGACAGTCCAGTTAGGAGATCAGTGGTCAGCAGATCTTTGGCTTTACTGTGCTAAGAGGTTGATGGCTAATTTCTTATCTGAACACCAGTACTGACGAAAAAAAGGGGATGGCAGAGGAAACAGGAGGGCAAGGTACGTAAATTAAGGAGAGAGGGGATACAGTGAGGGTGACCAGGCTTGTCACATTAATCTTTCCCTTTGGAGAGCATCACATTAGTGTTGTCGCTGATAGAAGAAAAAGAGGGGGGAGAAGCTTGTTTTCTGTAGTTTGCAATGTCATGCAGGTAGTACTCTAAAGCTGCAAACTATTGAATGTTTTGATGACATTTGGTAGTAGAGTCCAAATATTTTTAAGTACAGAATTTTTCTTTTGAGATGATCAAGTCAAAACAATTAAAATCACACTTCTGCAAGATTTAGTAGGAAAAATCTTGCCAGCAGGCTGATAAATGCTAGTCTTTTTGTTTGGTTGCTTGTGGTTTTTTTAGAAAGATCTGAAGACTTGGCTTTATTACCTGGTGCTCTGTTGGGAGGCAGTTTCTACACCTTGGATAGAGGAAAAGGATGTTGTGTGGTATATTGCATGTGAAGAAGTTTCACTTGACTCCTTGCATGTAAGATCTAGAGCAGGCTGCAATGCAATAGATTCTGTGCCTACCTTCAAAATTTGTCCTGGTGAAATAGCACTTCATGAAATACCAGGTGAGGTACCTGGTTGTCTCTGAAAAAATTTTACTTTTAATATTTCACAAGTGGATATTTTTCTGTAAGTGTATTCCTTTCTGTCCACAAACAAGTGACCAAACTCTGGAGAACTGGCAGCCAGAATGTGTGAGATTTCTTGAAGGTTTGTCACATTCTTGAGGGCACAGGACAGTTTGCATGCGGGGAATGCACAGGCACGTTATCTTGTATCGGATTTCCCACTTTTCTCCTTCCAGGAGTTTACAACTTCTGCTCGAGCAGAACCACCTGTGCTCCACAGAAGTTTATTCCAGCAGAGCTCAGGTGGCATTCTCCTTGCTGTGGTCTCCTTAGGACTTCCCCAGCAATCTGAATTTTTGTTGGTGCTCAGAAAATTCCTGTGCATCCTTTAGCCTGACCAGCCATCTCCAGTCCTGGCTGGAACTGGCCTCTCTTGTGAATGTGCTGGCTGTTGGCAGATTTCAAGGGGCAGGGAATTCACCACATTTTTTCCCTGCAGATATGCTGTTCTCCAAGGATGTCTCTTGAACTCCTACAGGCTTGAACCTCAGAGCTTTTTGACAGATTAAAACTCATTCTGTTTTCAGTGAAAGCTGTCATAACCTGTCATAAAATTAAATTTCTCTGATGCAGGGCCCGAGACTTCCCAAACCGGGTCAGGTAATTCTTACTAGTAAGACCTAGAAATACCTCCTCTTGGCTTTTTTTTTTATTCTTAATAGGAAAGCAGGTATTTTTCCCCATGTGTGTTTTAGATATACTATCTATGGAGAGCGGCAATGTGTTTGTCATCAACAGTGAAAATACTGACCTGGAAAGGACTTTTTTTTTTTTTGAAATATGCGTTGATATGGATATAAGGAAAACAAAAACCCCACAGCTGCTCCGCCTGCAGGGCTTTTCTGAATAGCAGAATTGATCAAAGGATGTTTTTATTTCCTTGTGAAGAGGAAAAATTCATCACTTTATAAATCACAGCAAAACCAAATCAAATCAATACCAGGAGCTTTTTAATAATAATGCATTTCTTATGGCTATACTCGGTATAGATCTCAGCAGTGGGTGCTGCACACAGCTAAAAAGAGTGAACTAAAACCTGTCTCTGACACTGGTTTTCATTTAGCATTAGGGAATTAACTGGAGTACCAGACTGTAACATCACAAACACTGACATGTTTAGAATCTGAGAGCTGAATCTGTATTTTATAGCTTGAGTTCATCTGAACTGTGAAGTGGTACTGTAAAATAAACTTCTCCTTTCTTCAGAATTCAAGAACATGTTGGGTAGTTTTGCTTTTTTCATCTGTTGCATGCTGCGGCTGGGTCGTTAATGCGCGTTGTCTAGTTGTTAGCAACGCATCCTGAACGTCTCTGGTAGACCACTGCGATGAGAACACCTTTTTTGGTTGATGAATAGAGGAGAAACTCTCTCTCACCTTCTGTGGAATATGTTGGCTTCTGTCCTGATGAATGTTACTGTAAGATGCAGTCATTTATTTTAACTGTGTTGAAAGGCTTTCAAAGCCACTATATGATCTTCTTACAAGCCAGCAGATTCATACTGTATATCAAGGGATGAAAGTTAGTGCTGAGATCACTAAATAACACTTACTTTCAATAGAGCTTTAAAAAATTCTGGCCTGTGAATTTTGTGATTAGAAGTAGATTGTCTATTAACAAGTCAGTGCAATGGCTAGGGAGTGGATCCAAGTGTTTCCTAAATTGGAGAAGTGTTGGCTGGGTATAACAGTGAGCAGTAAACAGGGTATAAAAAGCTGTGAGTAGTAGAGAAAAGGATTAAGAGAAAGAGAAAGTTTTGTATTACCTCAGAAATAACTGAGTCATGCAGTTGCTTGGCGCTGGCATAAAGTTATTAGCAAGGGAAAAAACACATCACAGTATTTTATTGTCCCTTCTTTAGGTGTTAGGGCTCCAAGACTAAAACCAGATATATATGTATAGAGTATTTCTTTGTTTTCAGTTTTCCTTACTAACATGTAATATCTAGACAAAGTGCAAAAGAGAAAGCTATTTCTTAATTATTTAGTAGTAATCAATAATGTGAATTAATGTAGTGCTGCCACTACATTGACCCTTTCTTATGCATACATTGTTCAGGTAGCCGAGGATGCTACTGCAGTGGTTTCACTTAAAGAGTTACATTTTGTTTTCTTTTTTTTTCAGGTTGACTTTGAACAACTCCAGGAAAACTTGTGTCAGATGGAAAGACGGTGCAAAGCATCATGGGATCACCTTAAGGCTATAGCAAAGCATGAAATGAAGCCAACTCTAAAGCAAAAAATGTCTGAGTTCCTTAAAGACTGTGCAGAACGAATCATCATCTTGAAGATTGTTCATAGAAGAATAATTAACAGGTACAGAATTAGATTGGTGACATAAATTTCTTGATAATAAATGACTTGCTAAAATTATAAATTATGACATCATAGATGTGTTTTTTATGTGTTTAATCCACATTCCAGCAAGTAATGTTACCAGGATGTATGTGGTGCATACTTTGTTATAGGTGCCATTTAAGGAAGATCCCCACTCTAGAACATTCCTCTATTTCTGATGACAAGAAGCAATGATCCAGGCAATCATTTATTCCCAAGGTGCAATAACTAACACTAACTCCTAACCCCAAAAGCTAGCGGCTTTATGAATAAGTTGCTGTATTTTCTGTCCTTCCCCGAATACTTCTGAGGGGGGTTGGCTTACTGTCTGATAAACAAGAACAAGCTGTAGCAATTAAATGAAGTTTTAATGACAAATTTGTCATATGCAGAAGTTGAAATGAGTCTTGTACAATGATTTCTTCTGTAGGCAGCACCATTCCTATTTGCAAGACCTATGACTATGTGTTTTATGCCTACCCAGCAGAAGGCAGAATTAAGATTCCTCTCTTTAAGACTTGTTGTTTGGTTTAGTTTCATCCACTGGAGTTAATTGCAGTGCTTTGAAATGTAGATATTCATGATAATTCTGCAATACACCTAAGTTGGGGTTTTTTTTTTCATATTCACAAATGTAGCTTAAGTCATCTGAGTAATTTATCTGTGTTCCTGCCGGGTAATGAAATTTTGAGAGATTTTCCAACTTCTAAGTAATTTCCAAACTGCTGTGGTGAAAATTAGGATCTGGATTCCAAGTTAATGCCAGATTTGTGAATATACACTTGAGAAGTTGATTCAGCTATTCTTTTGTTTTCATAATGACTTGGTTTTAATGCCATAAGTAAGTATAATTCCCAACTGCAGTGAAAGGGAAGTAATTCTCCAGTTTTCTGTCATGTTTATTATATGCATAGTACAAATAAGAAAAATACTAACTTTTTCCTACTATGTCCTGCAACTGCTACTATAGTTCACCAAAAATGCATCCATGTACTTGCATCTTTCTAGGCTGGGGAAGATTTTTTATCATCAGGGATGTAGATGTAGTTAAAAGGATCTCCCATACCTTTTTAAACATTCAGTGTGCTATTGTAAATCATGCAATGTGGAAGCAATAGTAAAAGTTGCAAATAGTGTGAAAGCTCTGAATGCCACAGAAGCAGTAAAATTGTGAATTGAGAGTAGCCCAAGCTAAAGTACTTGGTAGATAATATAATTTTATGATCAGTTTTGTGAACCAGAAATTCTTTCCTTCTTGTGTTTGCTAGCCTGTAAATCTGCATTCTTCTTGTCTAGACTTTCTCCAACATCCTAACAGCCTCTTTGAAGTTGTGTAGTGCAAATAAATAGAATTGGAACTTAATAAATATTTTTTCTATAACTGAAATGAAATTGGTCCTTCACATGCCAAATTAGTCATGTAAAGTAGATGGAGTTCCATAAACGTCTTATCTCCTGCATCAGCCTGGGAAAGTGGACTGGGATGAAGTTATCATAGACTAGACTTTCATGGTTTTAATTATAAAACATGCCAGTGTTATGCAAAACATCCATGAAAATTCTGTAGCACGAAAGAAATGATAGAAGCTAATAAAGTAATAAATGGATTCAATGAAATGAGGGGGCAGGGGGTAGCAGAAGCCATCAATAAAGACTTTTTCCCTTGCATTTATTAACTCATTGTTTTTCAGGTTTCACTCGTTTTTGTTATTTATGGGCCATCCTCCCTATGCAATACGTGAAGTCAACATCAATAAGTTCTGCAAAATTATTAGTGAATTTGCTCTGGAATACCGCACCACCAGGGATCGAGTTTTGCAGCAAAAACAGAAACGAGCTAACCACAGGGAAAGAAACAAGACCAGAGGGAAAATGATAACAGATGTAAGTGGCAAAATGTATATCCCACAGCATGTTTTTTTAAAACTTTCTTTCATTGAGTGTCGTATAAGAAGTGTTGTTACTCTTTATTTTATTCTTAAGAGGTTCTTCTACTGTAAGTAATGAACTGTGTTCTCTTAGAAGACAAAACTTGCAAGTCCTGGACTGTGTGTATTTTTTGCTTCATACCAATTTATAGAATGAGAACAAACTGAAATTAAGCATCCAAAAAGACCATCTGTGTTGCACAGACAGTGCCCTAAATACGTAGAAGACACCAGCAGCTGTGTGTACCTGATCAGCCAAGAATACGATAAAGGGAAAAAACCCTAGAAATTAGGCTCCTAATTGAGGACGTGATTTAAAGGATGAACTATTATAGCCATTTAGTGGTTACAACTGAATTTAAATGGATTTTTTCCTCTATCTTTGAATATTCTGATATAGTCTTTTAACATTTTATTTGTTTTTATGTGTGTATATATACATTTATGCATGCACACACAGAGTAATTTTCTTCTCAACTTAAAAGCACAGAACAGCCAATTTTATAGGAACAGTCTACTGGGGTTCTGAAAGAACAGACAAATATATGTTCACAGTAGATGTTACCCTGCAAACTTTTTGACTCTATGTTTGTATACTGATAGAATAAATTAAAATAAGATTAGTTTTCTCAGCATACTAAGCTTTAAAATCCCCTTGATTTTTATCTTCTTTTTTTTTAAGTTGATGTAGTTTGACTCAATCCAAATGAAGTTTTAAGAAGTGCCAGTACTTAATAAAAGTTTCCAGCTGTCTCAAAATCCAAATCTGGAGTCTCGATTAGATGCGAGTGGTTCGTTGCATATGAAGCTACCCCTGTCTTTGGCATGAAAAGCCCTAAGCTGATTACAATTTTATGGCTCAGGCAACACGGGTCAAAATATGTATATATGTTTTGAGACTGATATAAATTGAGGTTTATTTAAGTCATTGACTCACGATCATTTGTAGATCTTTCCTGGCAATATCCTCTTTAAATTTGGAAACCTGCCCCACCTAGAGAAAATGTAAACCTGTATTATTGTCTCAAAAGATTTTCCTTTTGGTCTAGCCTAAGGTTAAGGAAGAGGCTCTGATGTTGTGCAAAGGGTATAATACAGTCCTTCAAATTTTCAAAACTACCACTGGGGAACTGAGATCTCTTTTTTCAGTTGCTTCTTGGTTTTCCTGACATATTCTAGAGAAGCTAAAAGATAGCATTAACCAAAGAGATTGGTAAATTAAAATATTTGTTCCCTCACATAGCTTCAGTGCTTTTTACTAGTTTAAATAATACTGAGACATGAAGGAGTTACTGTTTCCCAACTATATGATGTAGTGTTTCTGTATTACCTGCCCAGAAGAACTGGCTGTGGCAGGATGAAAGCTTCTCTATGTCCTATTCCTGCAGGAGACACGAGGGGAAAAGGAAATCTGATCACCGGCAGCTGGGTTCAGGAAGCAGAGAGAAGGGACCCTTTCAAAGCAGAAAAAGGCTCAGGGGTAGACAGCTAGTCAATGAGGAGATAAAGACGTATTATGGGAAGAAGATACCTTATTCGTCTCAAGATAGCATAGAGATTTGACAAGAATTAAATGCCATCTGACAGCTACTGTTCCACCTAAAAATACCTTGTAGGTCCCTAGAAAGGGAGCATTTTTTGCCTGTCACTAATTTACAATTATATAATGGTCCTGTTAGCTTAAAAACAAAATGACTGCTGGAATAAGAAACCACATTCTTTAAAATTCCCCTTATAGAGATGTTCTTTAAGGGGGTTATTCATGTGGCCATGTGGTTATTTCAGGACTTACTAAATCTCCTTAACTGTAGCCCAGTAATATGGCCTCGTTTACCGTTCATTTGATGGCGGTACATTGTAAAACAGAACTAAAGTTGCATCAGACCATTTGTCACAGCTTCCTTTGACAACTTCAAAGTCAAATCTACCTCAAAACAAGTTCCAAGTCAGCAGGGTGGAAGATATTTATGTGTGAAGAATTATGAGAAAGGGGAGTTTTATTGTAGCCTTGTGCTGGCTGTGGTTTGTATCTGGTCTTGATTTTCTTAGTGTTTTATATTTGAAGGCATTGGAAAGGGAAGATGTATCCATAATGCATTGACAACATGTTCAACTGGTTACCAAACACTGATAGAAGAAAGCTTAGATCTTGACGTTGGAAAGAAACTCTTTGTAGAAAGTAATTCTAATAAGAAATGGTCACGTAGAACTTTAATTTCTGCTTTTGGTGACCTAGAAGGAGTGTGGGGTTATTTGACATTTACCTCCCTGTCCTTTTGAAAGTTGCCTCAGGATCTCATTTTTATCGCCTTAAAGTACATTGCTTTTAGGCAGAAGAAGAGGGATTTTAGCAAAAATGGGAAAGGAATAAGCCAGAACCATCCCAGTTCTTAATGAGAAAGCACGTATCTCTTAAACCTTGGTCCCCCCTGCAGACTTGGAAGGCAGAGGGGTGCTGGCTCTTTGCTTGGAGAGAGTCTGCTGGCTCTTTGCGTGGAGAACTTGCATCAGCTTCAGCAACTGCTCACATGGAGTAGGGCCGAGAAACACGATGGGGAATATTTCCAGTCTTTCTTTTAGCCTTTTACCACAGAGATCTTTATGTGTTCTTTAATAGCTGAAGTGGACTGGGCACTGTCAGTTTAAATCTTGGTGAATGCTGTCTGCAAGAGAGAAGGATGGAAAGGGGGGGGTGGGGGGTGGGGGGAAAGAACAGTGAGTTGCCACAGTTTCACAGGGAAAATTGCCTAGTCTCCGTAACCTTATATCTGGCTTTAGCCAATGATAGCACTCATTTCAGGCACACTAAAAATAACAAGCAAGCAAAATAGGGAAGAAATGCAATTACAGTTACAAGTCTGAGCTTTTTAATGATTTTTAATAATAGTAGGTAATACAAGCATCTGTCTCCCAGATTTATGAAGGTCTGCTTTTTATGATACTTAAGAGTTTTAATTCTAAAATTGCTATGTAATAGAAATAATATTTTGAAATGGCAAATCCACCACGTAAAAATGCTAGCCTAAAGGAAAAATGGGAAGGAGGGAGGGAAGGAAGGAAGGAGGGAGATCTCAGATTGTTCTGCAGCATCTAATATTGTATGACAGAAGAATCAAGCAGCATTTTTTTTCTTCAAATTAGTATCTTGTGGCTGCAAGAGGTGTTCGGTATAGCAATGTACTTTCAGTGCTTTTTTGTATTGATACATGTTAAAAATTTCCTAATTTATTAATATTTTTCAGTGTATTTGTAATGATGAAATGAAGAAGGAAATAAAAGGCAGAGTGTACATACCTGAGTGAGAGCAGATTCCCCTGTGAAACAAAAGTTTGGTTTATTTATTTTGCTGTTGTCAGTATTTGCTGGGGTAAATGGCTCTCCAGATCTGGAAATAAGATGCAGCTGGTGAACTCCTCCTGCTGTGCACTGGAGTAGCTTTGGGTGTAGAAGGACAATGTTTCTAGGTGTGAGCCCTCTCCATCCAGAGCAGGAGGCAGGGAAATGGTAATGCCCCAGGTACTTGAGAAGTGCAAAGTCAGACAGAGAGGAGTACATTGCCCTTAAAGTAAGTCCACAGCAAATCACTTTTAGCTAGATGAAATGGACAGGAAGGACAGCAGCTGGGACTTTCCCTGTAAAAATCTAGCTTGATATAAAGTAATAATATAATACACTTTTGTTTGGAGCATGCTCTTCGTAATGTATGTACTCTGTTATTTCACCTTTCCCTGAGTGCTTTTTGCATATTGTTTAGCTTAATTTGCTCTCCTCCTGCCTTTTAGACAGATGTACACATGGATTAGAATGCAAGTATGTTCTTGCTTCCCATTCTTCTCCTTTCTGTTTCTTATTCATGCCAAAAAGTGAACAGTGGTCTTCTTCAGAAGAATTGTTTTATGGTGTGACTCCCTGCCCCCTGGGAGATGGAAAAAAACAAGTGGATCTTTTTAATGTAAAGGGAACATACCTGCCGAGGTCCCTCTGCAAAACATCTGCCTGTGTTTCTGTCAGTGCTACTGTGTCCAAAGAAAAATAAACATCTCACTCTTTGAATAAAACATACCCTTAAAAAGTAATGTTAATGTGCTGCTCAGCACTCTCACAGCTAATCTTCTTACGGAGATTGTGCTGAAACTAAGCTAAGGGCCAAAGTAAATCAAGCTTTCATTTTTAATGATGAATGTTTCTGGAACAGAATGTATCAATCCCAGACAGAAATCATAGCTGAGATGGAGATAAGGTCAAAAATATGTATTAGTAACACTAGGGAGGGGAATAGAATTGGTGGAATGCTGCTTCTAAAAAGCAAAACAAAACCCACAAATAAAAAAATGCATCGAATTTCTGGTCAATGTTTGCACTTTATAAACAATCAAACTGAAAATTATGGAAGCAAGGAGCCCAGATACTTGAGAAATTCTGTTTTACTTTGGGAACCTTCCATGTGGGGCATCTTACAAACCAATGAAGAATTCCCCAGGCATTTGGGAACAGCTCTAAATAGTTTGCTAATTCCCTGTAAATCCCCAAATTTAAGAACAGTCCATATGCCACAATATTTTGATATGCCCATTGCATTTAATGTAGTGTAACTGTCAAGATAGTTTTACACGCCTGCTGTCACAGAGGGTGAAAGCCCTGAATGACAAAGGGTAATTGCATCTCTCTAATTTCCAGGATCTGATATCAGGCAGCTACTGAAGAAATTTAAGCATTTATTCAAAGACTATTCAGCATCTGATTTGAGTGCTCTGTTAATTGGAAGTTGAAAAGCCCCAGCTTAAAAAAAAGGAATTAAAACAAGCACTTAAGTGTAGAGAAAAGGAATTGCCAAGAAGCCGACCTCTGCACTGGGAGAAAGAGCAGCCAGGACCTCCCTGAGCTGGAAAAAGGAGAGAGAGTCCTTCCTAGTGTTCTCAGTTTCCACAGGGCAAAAAGTGGGCAAGCAACCGCATGACTCAAGGGAGAGAAGAAGGATGGGTTAGGGGTAGTGTCAGTTCACCATTTCTCTAAGAAAAATCAGGAGTTTTTATATACCCTACTGACAGTGACAGTCTGTTCTATGTTCGATTAACTAAAAAAGAATAAGCAAGCTAATTGTCTAAGGAATTAATTCCTTATACACTTCATATTTTTATGTCCTGTAATTGCATAAACAGTACCACGGTTGCCTCTTACTCTGTCCTGGTTTGACCATACTGTCTTTCCTAAATCTTGCTGTTTGTCCTTCTCCACTCTGTCTTCTGTTTCCGGTGGCAGACCGATGAAGAAGAGGATGCTGAGGTATGGTTCTTTGAAAGAGCATGTCATTCCTATGTCCCCCGTGTGCTGTGACATCTAATTTCTAACTCAGATAGTATGGACTGCTCAACTCCATCTGCTCAACTGGAACTATGAACCATGATGTTTTTCTCATAGCTTTTTGGCTCAATCATAAGAATGCATTTTTACAGTCAGCTTTAACCATAAGCATACCTGCTCTTCTGCATAAGGATATCCTGATCTGAAGCCTTAATAATTTTAAGTTTCCTCATTTCTTTTCCTTACTGTCTGTTTACTAAACTGCAAAGTATCCGCACTACACAAAACATCAGTGATCTGAATGTTACGGAGATCATCAGTTACCTTGGGCTGTGGATTACCATGATAATTTCATACTCATTATTAAACTGTGTAAGTCCAAATGGTGTTATTTTATAAAGTGGTCAAAAGCATCAGGATGTAGGGATTCAAAGCAGATTGTAAAGTTCTCCTTGCTGTGTGGATTGCAAGTAAAATACTTCAGTCACCATAGAGGTGAGCCATGGAGTAGTTCGTGTATTTATCATAAAGTGCTCCTGAACGTGATGTTGAAAATTAATAAAGGAGTGAACAAATAATTTAAGAACTATAACATGATAGCTACATTCATAATAAAACAATTTATTGGTTTGAGGACCATCTATTGTGCAATGCAATTTTTGTTCAGCATTACAGCTTTCTTCAATTTGTTGAACATAAACAATGTGGCTTGATGCTCGCTGTTTCATAATGGCAGTTGTTTGCTCAAGAGGCCGGGGTTTGGGCATTAATTTATGGCAACATCTGAAATGTAAAGGAGTGAAATAAAACTTCAGGCTATAGAGCTTCTCCCCCAGCAATGATTTGCGCTGAAAGAAAATTACATGAATTAGCCTGTTTATGCCAACATTTAACTAACCAGTGTGAATACTAACTAACAGCTATGTGAAGAATGTATCATTTGGGTTGTTTTCTGAGATGATGTTGTTTAGCTTTACAACCCATTGTGTATAAGAGAGTATTCTTAGTGCAAAAATGGCATGCACTTTCCATAGAAATTTCCCTTTAATGTTTTTCTCTCTTTTTGCATGTGAAACTGTAGCACTTGCATACTTTCCACATCAAAATGTTGTGAGCTAATATCTTAACAAGAAAACAAACTTCTCACTAGCAAAAATCATTCTCACACTGATATATTTAGCTCAGTGCCTTGTAGGGATTATTGTTTTGCTACTCAGTTAACTTGCTATCCTACCCCAAAAAGTCATTATGTTAAAATAGAATCATCCTGTCATTGATTTCCAGATTAAATATTTTCAATTTGCAGTCTTGACAGCTCTGGGGACTCAATCAAAGTTCTGAGAGTAGAGCCTAGTCTTTTCTTCCAATTTACCATTCTCTGACAGAAAGGTCCTGCGAGTTTGCATCCCTTTGACTGGCTCAGTATCATCAAGTGAATAATTAATGTTGTTTATTATGCAATAGAAGAAGGGAATGCAGCACACCTTCTTTCATCTGCGCTGAATTCATTGGAATAAGAAAGATTAAAAGGAAAAAGAGAACATGTTTCAGTTTCCGATGCTGGACTGATATAACTGAGAATACTGAGGGGTGGTATTATCTGTTGATGCATGTTTGCTGTTGACAGAGCTGGTATTTTTTGCAGCCATGTGCTTCAGCCTTTCTGTATATAAGAACAGTGGAGCGAATACCAACATCGCAGCCCTTTCTAGGCAGAGGCTGGGAAGGGAGAGCAGCCTGGCAGTACACGCTGCTCTTCTCCTTAGAAAGTATCCATTTCTGCTGTTTTCATCTGTTTCTAGATGGTTGTTTTCAGTAACCGGTGGAGCTGCTGCATCCGTGGCTGTGCGTGCCCAGCTAATGTAGCTGCTGTTGTTCACGTAGTCGTGGTGACAGCGAAATCATGGGGGGGCTGGGGAAGCAAAGGGCAGATTCCTAAATCTCTTGTAAGGTTTTGTTTGTTCTTCTAACTGCTGACTGCAATTTTTGTGTTTTGGCCATGAAATAATTTGGCTGGGTGTTTTGGGACCAGGGATTTTTTCAGCGTTACTGATAAAGTATTTTAAGGTTACTTGTAGGTATTTGTGTTTTAGAGAGGTTTGAGAGTTTTCTATGCAGCAATGCAGAGAGGCAAGAGGGAAAGGTCTTCTTTCCTAGACCACTCTCCCAGTTTTGCCTTGTTACTGAAAGGGGATTGTACAGAAAAAAAGCAATTTCTTATTTGTGTCAGGTCTCATGCTGTCCCCCTTGGTGTCGTACCTGACCCCAGATTGGGCCCAGCCTGGGTCAAAGGTTTCAAAGCAAGTCTTTGCTTTGTACCTTATACTCTCAGACAGAAAATCCAAATTATGAAGCTCGAGCTAATGCATCTGGTTTTCCTCTGATTGTGTCTGCTCTCTGCTGTCGCCCTGTTTCCAGTTATTTCTGCTCAGGGTGCATGCTCTGGGAGAGGAGCAACTATTGTCTGGCTCTTTTGGGAATAGCTGCACTCCAAACCAAGCCCGGGAGGACACTTTCCTCCTTTCAATTCACAGTCAAAATTCTGCCCTATTCTCCCTGCTGTTTTCTGTTAAAACAACAAATTTGTTTCCCTCCTGCAGTCCGGCAAGTTTTCCAGCAGCTCACCCCCCTGCCAGAGCCAGCCCCAGGGGCTGCAGTACGCCGAGGATGCTGCAGAGCACGAGAACATGAAGGCCGTGCTGAAGACATCCTCCATCAGCGGGGAAAGCACCACGGCGCTCGGAGTCCGTACACGAAGCCGGGCCAGCCGAGGTAAGTGCCAGAAGTTTCCTTTTGGCTGTTTTTCTTGTGGCACGGTAGCCAGAGAGTGGCCCAAACACAGCTTGTGGCCCTCTTGCTTAGCACTCGCAGCTAAGCAAGACCCTGATGGTGTTTCCATGCTGAAAGTGGTGATTGGGGCATGGGGATGTAGAAGAATTTGCCTGAAGTTTTAACACGTGGATGACAGCCCAAGTTTTGCCTGGGGGCATTAGGAGTCCAAACCTGTGGAAATTCTCACCTCTCCACCCACCATGAACTTGTCTGCCCACTAACGCCCAAATTTTTATTCTTGTTCTCATCACAAAAGCAAAGTGGGCCATCCAAGGAATCAGTAATGTGGTTTTCTTTCCTTTGTTTCTATAGAGGCAGGTAGAAAGTAGCAATTCAAACTGAAGTAAAAAGGCCTTGCAGCATTTTAGGAATGATTGGGGAAAGGAAAATGGTTAGGAAAAAGATGATTAATCTTTTAACCACTTCCCTGCTAAACTGAAAAAGTCATAGATGAAGTGGAGACTAGGAGCATAAAAAGCTGCTGTGGATGGCCCTGCATCTCCTTGCTGTCCTGACAGATAATTTTCTCTGAGGTCCATGGCGCTCTGCTGTTTCCAAGTGTCAGCATGGGTGATTGCTGAGAGCTGACAGGGAGGAAATGAAAACCTGACTCAGCCCACTGATTCCAACACCTGATACTCTGACAGAAGAGCTCACTGGTACAACCATTCTTGGCAATGAGATAGCCTCGGTTTTTGTCCAAAACATGATTCGCTGGTACACCTCTTCATTTAAGCAGCCACTAAACCACCGACTTTATGCTAAATCATTTTACAGACACTGGGTTCACCAGTTTATTTTCTTTCGTCTTCCCCTCACCCCCTCCCATACACATGACACTTGGAAGACGGTTTTGGAGTAAAGGTGATGCACCAAAATTCAAATCTTCAGTTTTCTGTTCCGGTGTTTCTTTTCCCTCACATCTGAATATCTTACACTTTCTTGATTCTTTTTTGATACCGCTGATAGCACATGCAGAGCATCCACCACTAAGTCTGTGTGGGCGCAGTTTATTAAAAGCTTGAAACCATGATCCTGTCTAATTTAGAGGTTTCACAGCCCTAATGTAAGAAGCAAGTCAACTAGCTAAAGTACAAAGATGAAATAGTTCAAGCGGCACTGCCACAAGCTGAATAGCTGAAATAATCCATTGAATGCTGACGAGCAGCGTGTCCTGATAATGCGTCAGCTTGTGTTCCCCTGAAGAACAGCAGAGGCAGAGGATGGGTGAGCCAGGCAGAAGCTTGTCAGGAGCACTATTGTGATGCAGCTGCTCTTGACAAGAGCAAGAAGACAAGCAGCAGGGCAAAGTGCTAATCAAAGCTGTTTGTTGACATCAGGGACACAAGAAGTGACCTCGCCAGTGAATTTTTAGCTGCTTGCAATTCTACCACACCCACTCTTTTGCAAAGCTTGCTGTCAGTGTTCACACTACATACTAGCCTTCAAATTTTTTAAAAACAAAAAGCACACGGAGCAGTAGTCTGTAGTGGAGGAACCCAAAGATGGTCTGACGCAGCTCTCTGGAGTAAGGAGTGCCAGAGCCTTGGGTTTGGAGACATGGCTCACGTGTTTGTTTGTGGTTTTAACCAAAATTGCTTATTTAGCTTTTCAGCTTGCCAACGACTCTTGCTTTTCTGCTCATAACAGAGCACACACAGTTGTGCCAGGACACATACAGCTTTGGATGAGAGGGTGAATTCTTCATTGGGAAAGGGACAACGAGACACTTTTTGCCTTTTTCATGTCTTCTTTGCGCTAGGCTGTGATACAGATGCTCGGAAATTGATCCTTTTCTCTTTTGGTACAAAGGACCTGTGTTGCTGATTTGCATCAATCTCTAACATGCGCCATGTCTTCTAGTCTCTGTGTCACAGGAACAGAGGGAAACATGGCCCCACAACACTAGGAATCCTTGGCTTATAGACAGTCCCAGGCAGGCATTTGCCAGTTGTATGGTCAAGAATAAGACTCTGAGGCTGAAGGGAATAGAAAATTATAATTGCATTTAAGCTCTCAGTTCTCTGCTGATACAGCAGAGAGTCTAGGGTATTATTTAGAAATATTCTCCATTAGGCAGAGACTTCTACTTTGGCCAATTTGAAGTAGTGATAACTGAGCTGGCTGTTGTAATTCCCGAAAAAACCCAATTGCAAAACCAAAGTGATGCAAGAGACTTTGTGTCTTCTTTTCCCTCAATGCTGGACTTTTCCAGGCCGTATCGGTTCATGGAATGCTGGCAACGATGATTCACCTAATGCAACGGATGACGCAGCAGATGAGATCATGGATCGCATTGTCAAGTCTGCCACCCAAGTGCCAAGCCAGCGAGCGGTGCCTAGAGAGAGGAAGCGGTCACGAGCAAATAGGAAGTCATGTGAGTGTATGGCTATTGCATTTCTCAAAATAAGCAAATGTGCAGATATTTGTGTATATCGGTGTGGGGACCAGGCCTTTAGTAGGCAGACGTGCATTGATAGTTCATAGACGCTTGAGTGTATACTTTTGACTGGCATATATTCCTCTCACTATTGTTTAAACAGTGTTGTATGCAGTGGGTGACTGTCTGCTACAGAACTTGAAATTTCCTTAGCAGTAAGGGAAGAATGGTTTATGGTGCTTTAGAGCTGGTGACAGTACTTATTCATAACTAGAGAAGTCAGATCAGGACCTCAAATGGAGACTGCTTAAAATGCTGTAAGGTACCATGAACTGGCATAAAGATTAATAGTTGTATCTGTAGCTGAATTTATTCTTAGAGCAAAAAGTAGTTTGAGATATTTCACCTTTTAAAATCTTTCTCTCTCATGCTGTGTACTATCCTTCCGCAGCCCTGAAAACAAAATGTCTACTGCTGCTTGGCTGCAAAGTGGTTATAGAGGAGCTTAACTTCCACTGGGAAGAAAAGGTAGCACATTTATAAGGTGGTCTTTCAACGGTGTAGTGTGGCCAGAAGGCTGAGCTGTGGCACTCAAGTTTGAGCAATTTGATTTCATGCTGTAGTAAATAAAATGTTTAAGAGGTGATGATTTTTCTGGGTTGTTTTTTTTTTTTTTTTTATGTGCAGAGACTACTGCGATTACTATGAGAAGGATAAGTACCCAAAGAACATATGATTTTAGTGTTTAATGTCATTCACCATATGTAGCTTTTTGACTACCTTTCCATCCATCTTTTTAGCATTTCTGGGAATTTAGGACAAAGAGGAGACAACAACAGTGAGTGAAAAATCACACAGATTTTCTTTTTTGTCGAATTATTCTAGCATAGTGGGTGATCAAAAACATTTGGTATAAACAGTGATTGCTATAAATTAGCATGTGCTGAAAGTGTAATCACTTTCCCCAACATGCTAAGAAAGGAACTTCTGCATGTGGCAAGAGCAAAAGCAAGGTGAATACTGTGGTTAGATGAGCCAGACTCGAAGCAAAGAAAATGAGCTGACACTGGATTGTCTGTCTTACTTTCCGTCATACACTGTGCCGTACCTCTTTGTGGCATCACCTTCTGCTGCTTCCCACTTCCCACACGGTTCTGGTGTTCTGCACATGCTGACTGCCCTAGTTGGCTTGTGCATATCAAATAAACCTCTTGTATGTTTACCTATGTCCACGGTTTATCCCATGCTAAAATATTTCCTCTGTTAGCAACACTACCTTCATGTACACATACCAAAAAGTCTTATTTCTGCTTTTTACCAGGTACCTTTTTCCCAAGAAAGCACTTGCTGCAGGAAAAAAAAAACACACAAAAGACCCTAGGATAATTATTATAAAGAACAATGTATTTTTCCATGGACTTGGCTTATATAGTCAGTAAAAACATTAACAGGGATTAAGCATTCAGTAAATGTTTAAGTTTGGGCTGATTTCGATTGTAATTAATCACGATAGAATCCAGCTCTTTTGCTTGTTTGTTCTTCAAGATCTGGATGAGACTCTTAAGTGGATTAAAAGGCAGTTTCAAAACAAACATAAAGTTCAGTAGTTTAGCATCCCTTTCAGCTGACATGTGCTGAAAGAAAGTGTGAGTATCTTAACTGAACTGTTTCTCTTCGATAGATAGTCAATATACCTGGATGATGAATAAATGAAGTAGTGTAGCTCTAAAATACAGTCAGCTGGGCTGATAATGTGGCACCACCAGGAAATGAACAGAGACGAGGCCTTGTCAATGCATGGTGTGAGTTAGGCGAGCAGATCTTCCAGGTAGAAATATAACATAGGTCCTCCATAACATATTAGAAAGTAGATTTTTAGACATACTTCAGTAATTTAGATTAGCAGATACTATGATAATTATCTGCAGAGCAGAGACCCTATTATCTGATGGGTTTGATTCACCACCTTCAGTCTTCAGGCTCCCATACACAGCTTTTGGCTTTTGCCATGAGCTTGGTATTCGATCTATTCGTGGACATCAAAGCGAAAGTCAGTTGAAAGGAATGATTTTCACTGTGCAACACGTTGCATATGTCTCATTGCTTTCAGTGCAGAACTGAAAATCTTGTTAGGCTTACTTAGCATTCAGCAAAGATTTTAGTGAACCTGAGCTGAGATACCTGTTTTTACCAAATCAGAAACCCAAAAGATTTATATGCAATTGCACTGTAAACATTTCCTGTGGTCCAGTTAGAAGGTTCTTATGGGCAAGGGATTTTTTTTGGCCATGAAAAAGGACAGGAAAAATGTGAAGTAAAAAGCAAGTGATACTCAAGTCATTTATAACTAGGAGAAAACAGACACAGGAATATGGAAACAGTTAAGTTAAATTCTAGTAACAGTTGTAATGGGAAAATGAGACCTTTTGACGTGTTTGAATCATTTTAGCTTTTGTAATTGTTGAGCAGCATGACTGTATCTGGTATGCAGAGGGCTTAGTTAGATATTAATGACTTAGATGAGTTTGAACTCTCAGGATAATCAGCAGAACTATAAATCGGGAGGAGGAATAAGGCAGTGAGTCATCCAACAAAAGACAGATGGAAACGTCTGTATCTGTTGGTTGAAGATATGAAGGGTCAGTGAGAAATCCAGCTATGACTGAAGTCGACTGAGACCTAGTAGGAAGGAATATGTTCAGTGGGAGCTGAAATGGACTACAGAAGGCTAAGGTACATGGTAAGTGCGTAACAACTGGGTTCCTGTGATGATCAGCAAAGACAGAACTTGATTCTGTGCTAGACCTTTATGCAGTAGAGGTTTTCAAAGATAAAATTTGGCATTTAAGAAGTACAGTAACCAACTGAAAGTCATTGCCTCATGACGGGTGTTGATGAGTGACCTGCCGACCAGACATGGTGGAGCGGTGTTATATATGAGGAAACAACCTTACAGTTGTATTCATTCATTAGAAGCCTCATCAGGAAGCCACAAGATTGAATAAGCCACAGAAACTGAAATGCTCTGTCACCCCTTGAGGTAGTTGTTCAAAGACAGCTTCAAGGCAAGTTGCCATGGGAAGCCTTTGCTGTTTTTTTTCTCTCTGATGTCTTTACTCTGTGTGTAAACAATAGACCCCAGCCTCTAGAGATGTCAGTTAAGTGTATTTTAAAAGCATACAATACAAATTAGGTTGAAAGTATACTGTTTCTGTTCTTGAAGACTGAGGGCAGCTTTCTGTGAGAAAAGTTTTTATAACATTATGGGGAGCTGTTCAACTTAGCAAAGAAATAAAAAATAATATAATTAGGATTGTCTGGTACTCCCATAAGGTTAGGATGACCTTCACAAATGATGCCATAACAAACAGTGAGTGCAAAGGAAAATTGGGATAAGGAAGTTTTAAGAATCACTCTATTTGATAGTCCAAATTCCAATGAATACAATTGCCAAAGTTAATTTTAGCAGCTTACAGAACAGTATTACAGGCATTGAACCAGTGGATTTGGGGAAATAACAAAGAAACTGTCTGTATGAGATCACTGAGATTTCAAAAAACAGTCAAGAAAGGAGGCTGTTTAATACAGAGAGATGGATTAAAAAATTTAGTATGAGTTAGATAAGCAGAGTTTGCTGAGAAGACTACAAGAAATGAGGTAAGAGAAGAAATTATATAAAGAGGAATAGGGCTGCTTAGAAAATCCTGTTCCTAAATGAGTTTCATACCATCATGAACCAGCCTGTGCCAATTGCTTCAAATTGGGGGAGAAAAAAAATAGGTCTTACAGCCATGGCAGCTTTCTGGCAGCGGAAGGCACGTGAAGACTAGCAGTATCATCCAAAATTTTACTTAAGCACGTTTAATTAAAAGAACCCCCTCAAAACTCCATAATAGACAAATGGGAAGATAATGCTGTTTTCCTTCTTGTCCTGGCTGTTTATTTAAAACATCCATCCCCTAACATAAAATAAATTCTCTCAGGATTGGACTCTTATGGAGGTGCCATCTCTTTGTTGGCCTCATTGATGGATGGATCTGCCAAAGTAGAACGATACGATTCCCATGAGTCAGCATCACGAAAAATCATACTCCGGTTTCATAATCGTGCATAAGCGTATGGAAGGTATTTGCACTAATTCTGGCGTACACAGAGCACTACTTGGAAATGTTGAGCCAAACAGGGCTGATTTCTGACCTCTGAATGGCCATGGCAGGGTTCTGAAGAAGGACCAAGAGAAAATTCTAAGGATTCGTTACCTTGCTGAAGTGCTGATTAAGCCACAAGGTAGCAAAACCAGACCAGCTGACTAGCGCTTACCTTAAGGTTAAAACATGAACCTGCAAGTGTCTTCCTCCTCCTTTATGAATTGTTAGTGTTAGCAGCCTTCACGCTTGAAAATTTGTTTTCTGGCTTCCTAAAGTGAAGGCAGTGGTCAAAGAGTAGAGATCCCAACACGATCTTGCCAACAATTATTTCCAGATGACTGCACCAGGGAAATAGCTATTTAAAGATGGCTTGACTATACAGCACGGTTTGCATCTGGATCTTCAGCTCACCCTGAATGGTAAACCATGATGTAGGGTCCTGGTGTGACTAATATTTGATACCGAGTAACACAGTGGTGGTTGTATGGGATTCTGCTGGAGACACTGCACGAGGACATTGCAAAGCATGTTTTCCGCCATGTTGTTTTACTTCAGAGTGTCTCTCTGTGTGCACTCTTCTCTTAGATTTTATTAAAATTGAAAATCTGCTTTAGATTTGAGTTACAGAAATGGGTTTAGAGCAGATAATAATTGAATCAGAATTTAATCCAATATTCAAATGAGACGACTTGATCAAAATTAATTGTGACATTTAACAAAGAGAGACAAGAGACATGAAAATGCCTTGTTCTTTTATTAGGCTTTGGAATCACACGATAGCCTAATAATATGCCCTATGACTGACCCTTGAGATCTGCAGACATCTCATAAGGATTTATTGATTTATTT